TTATAGTAAAAATACAAGCAATACAATTGTCTAAAAATTACCAACAATACATTTTATAGTCAAATTACCAGTAAAAATATTATCAACAACTTCATTTCTGCAAACTATAGGCTGTTCCAATAACTTTGACCGATTTTAAATATGAGATAAGTTTAAGAGTCTAGTGAATTTTTTTTCTTTTTCTTTAAGATTTAACAACTCAAGTCTTTGTCAATTTTAACCATGGAAAGATTAACAATCAAACAACGTGTTAAAGTTATCGAAGCCTATTACGAAAATGGACGTTCAAATTTTTTAAATATACAGCCCAATGTTTCCGCTAACAAAAAATGAACACCAGTGACTTTATGTTTATACAGGGGCTTTTCAACAATCTTCCTGGGATTTTCATCAGCCCAAATGCGACAATTCTGCTTATTAACGAATCCACCAAGATGAAAATGGGCTTCATCACTAAAGAAGAATTTTTGCAAAAAATCTTCATCGGCTTGTCTTTGCTCATGCACCCAATTGACGAATGTACGGCACTCCAAATGGTCAGCTGATTTCAATTCTTGTGTCGATTGAATTTTGTAAGCATGTAGAGACAAGTCTTTTGTCAAAATCCGTTGTACCCTTGCTGTGGAGAGGCCCAATCCCTGTGTGCGATGACGAATTGAGGTGTCTGGATTTTAGGTCACATTCTTGTGCACTGCAGCAATCTTTTCAGCTGAACGGTGTAAACGAGCATGCAATGGTGTTTTCACATCTTTCACCGGCCCAGTTTGTTTGAATTTACGAACACTTTTTCCAATTGCACTATCGGTTTGTCGATTATGCTGAGCGAATAATAGCGAAATACATTTCTGTTTTGAACGTCCATTTTCGTAATATGCTTCGATAACTTTAGCACATTTTTTGATCTTTCCATGGTTGAAATTGCCAAAGACTTAAGTTGTTAAAATCTGAAGGAAAGAGAGAAAAAATCATTAGACGCTTAAACTTAATTCACATTTAAAATCGGCCGAAGTTATTGGAACATCCTATATATACCTAAAAAAAAAAATATACGTTTACTTTGAAAGTTTAAAATTATGTAAAAACTGCCTGTATTTGAATTCCATTTAAATTGTGTGCAAAATATAAGTAGATGAAACTATAAAACTGCATACAAAATATTAGGTTGATGCAAAAATAATGTCGTTTTCTCGTTTGAAGTTGAACGTCATTATTTTTGCACCAACTTAATATATGGATTTCGGTATAAATTATCCAATGGTTGATATGCCTCAACTACAGCCATCAGCATTTAAGCAATCTTCAGATTTTTTTAAAAATCTGTGAATGGTTATTCTTGGGAAATACAGTGTTGTTCAGTTCTTTGAAGATAATTGTATATTTTTTTAAATCGGTATCACCCCGTGCAAGGCAGTAATACCAATAAAACACAAGGGGATACGGAGTCTAGAAGAATTAGGAACAGAAACAATAATAATGAGCGGGAAAAGAAAAGAGTAATCAAGAGGACAGTAGATAATGATTGACATTTGGAGTCATTTAAATTTTTGTCGATTAATGTTGACTGGAAAGTATGGAGCCAGAAGGGAGTTCCACAAAAGAGAAGTGAAAGAGAAGAAACTGTTAGCATAGAACTTACGGCTATATCTAACCACCTCAATGCCAGATCTCATCGCCAGTCTAGTACTGCTCTTATATTCAAGATCTAACCTCTCCGATCAAGAAGCACTTAAATTGGTACGTCCGTAGGGTCTGTGAAACCATTTGTCGGGTTTTTTCCGATGGTATTTTGGTCCTGATCATGTTTTTTTTCACATGAGTTGGAAACATGTAAGATAGCTCTTGCTCAACACACACTGATCGGCCAGACCCTTAGATACGAAACTCTTGCCGATTTCAATCTTTACCGGGTATTGAAATCGGGAATTTTTACAACTGAGTCGGAATGTACAAATTCTTCCGATAGTTGGAATGCATTTAAATTGCTCAACACACACTTAGATCCCATTCGAACAATTACCACGAAATTATTCTTCCGATTGAGTTGGAATGCATTTAAATTGCTAACAAAAGATATGGTTGCTTTCGAGAGGACGTGGGGTCGTCAAGTGACTTCCGATTGGTTGGAATCGAGCGGCCAGATCAGGACCCAATTTCTCTTTGCCGAATATTGCATTTACCGATTTCGTCATGTACAATTCTTCCGATTGAGTTGGAAAGATCGGGTCGCCTTAATTCATGAGAGAATTTACCTGGGTTTGAGAATTGAGTTTGCATTTAAATTGCATGCATACCTTTAAGATTTCTCTTCTTGATGAATCTCCTCAATGAATCAGGTGTTCTTCCGATTGATGAATGCTTTAAATTGCTCAACACACACTTCCTCAGAATTCCTTTAAACGAGGTCACATTTACTGGTAAAGGTCGTCACAATTCTTCCGATTGAGTGTCCGAATAATGTGACCTTATCATTTCTCTTGCCGATTACCTATTTTAATTCTTC